TTTAATAGCATGAAGATGAAGTTTTAATTAACTTTTCCTGTATGAAGGAATTGCATGTTTCCTTTCTTCACCTTGAAGCATTACCTTTGCCTTACATGACAATCAGACATTCCTTTATTTTTGACGCCCCTGATGCCACTTATTAACTTCCGCAATAATTGGTAGGTGGCTCAATTTTGTGCCGAGAGGATGCATGGAGTGATAGCAGAGGAATGGGACCGTGAAATGGTAGAGAGCTCTGGGTGGAAGAGGAGATGGGAAGTAGCATTTTCCAGTAGTTTTGAGAGGGCTGACGATGAAGTCCGGACTGCGGCAGTTGCACCAGAAATGGTGGGATCAACTGCTGTTGTTGTAGTTTTATCTGGTTGCCAGATTATTACCTCCAATTGTGGTGATTCGAGAGCAGTGCTTTGCCGAGGAACTGAAACAATTCCATTAACTGTTGATCAGAAGGTAACAATGAAAATTCTTTTAGTCTTTAACTTACTCTTGATTCACTAGTTTTCAAAAATTTTCTATAACCATTATAAATTTTACAACTTACTATTTCTATAAAATTAAAAAATGTATAGGAAAGAAAAGTGCAAGAGGAAGCTTGTGATGTAATAGCCATCTTTTGTGTTCCAGTCATAACTCTTTACCGTTTCTCTTTCGTAGTCTTATGATATTCCTTAACCTTCTAAGTACAATACTTTAGTGGTTTTAGAGCAAAGTTACCCTATTACTTATCCGAACTTACCAAATTAGTGTACTACAGAAACTAACCAGTTGTTTCAGTACTCAACCAAGACTAACCGTAATACATTACATCTCTGATTAGATATTTTAGAGGCTTTGCTACCTTTCCCCTCTTTTTGTTAAAAATAACTTGCGTGTAGACATAAAGATGCTTATGTATTTTGATGGCATTTGAGGAACTCTAAACATTTGTAGAGCACATTGTGGAGCCTAAAAGAATCAAAGACAACACTTGGCCAGTGATTATCAGCTTTTTCATAGATCATAGGCTCTGTAGTGGTGTTATTTAGCTTTGTTTAATTAACAAGATCAAAGACATTTATGTTTTGTTTTTGTTGTTGTTTTCTACAGCCTGATAGACAGGACGAACTCATGAGAATTGAAAGAGAGGGAGGGAGAGTCATAAACTGGAATGGTGCTAGGGTCTTTGGAGTTCTTGCAATGTCCAGAGCTATAGGTTTTCCTTTATCTCTACTTCTCTATTTCATCTCAAATTTCCTGTTTAGCCTTTATCGAAGCTTCCTCAATCATATGTGTTCAAGGTATCTTGTAATCTTTGCTCTTATCAACATCATTACGCAAATGGGCATTCAGCCTACTCTATAGTGCCGTCATTTAATAACAGAGGAAAGAGTATTTGGTTCTGAATGATATTTGCAAAACAAGGATTGAAAATTGAAAGTTGTGAATTGCTTCGTTCTGTTGTGCTGGAGCCCTAAAATTCATTTCTTATCTTGCAATAGGATTATGTAAATCGATCATTTTGGAGTGCTTATTTGATAAAATTGCATCCCTACAAAAAGCTTCCGAACTCTATTAACAAATTATTTGTATATCCCAAATAGACATGACCGCATGACGATTAAAGAGAACTTTTTATATTTATGCTTGGAGATTTGTTTTCCTGTGAAATTTTAAGGTACGGAATGTGTAGAATATATTTCTGTATGCAATGTATCTGAGTGTTTATATATTCATGTAGTTATGTAGTGATTGTATTTTTTTCAACATCTATTCCTTTTCCTTTTGCTTTTTGGAAAGTTATGTGGATTCATCAATTCTAGTGTAGGATTTAGTATCACTAGATGACAATTGAAGAAAGATACCACATTAGCAGATGGAATCTCTTTCTACTGTTATTTTCTGTATTCTGTCCAGATATCTCATTATTCCCAGTGGAACTTGTAAGTGATGCCTATCCCTTAATGCTGTTAGAACTCTTAAAACTGTCACCATTTTAAAGACTAGTTTGCTGCTAAACCTCAAAACTTAAAACCATGGCATTACCTACTTGTTTTAATCTTTATTTTTTGAAAAAAGAAATTAATTTTTCTGTTGTTGTTTCTCAGCCTAAATATTATTATATGACTGATGAGGTTTTGGAGACAGCCTGGTCCTACTTTCACCATAGCTGGAGGTCTTTGATTATCTTCACACGTTGTCCTGCTCCACTAGTAGAAAAGACTTTCATTATGATTTATCTTTCTTGTTACAAAACTATAATTCTGAATAATCAACAATATCTTAGGGACTTCTAGTGTGATTGAACCACCAACTTGTCTGTCTTGCTCCTGTATATTGTCACTTCCACCATATAGGCAAAAAAAATTTTTTTTTTTTTTTTTTGGCCAAAATTTGTTGCCTTTGCCTTTGTTTTGTCATGAAAACCATACGTTGATAAATGATTCTTGTTATCATATGCTCGTTAGAAGGCCTCCATATTATATCACTTGGCCTTTTCTTAAAAAAATTGGCTGTAATCTGGTTAACCAGAACAGAAGGCAATGGCATTGAGTTTCCGAAATATGATATGTTAAATCCAATTATAATCATAGAGGTTTTCAAAAGGAACGTGGCAGTCTGTTTAGTTTGATTCATCCATTCATTTTTGTGCATATAACATGCATAAAAGGTGATCAATGTTTGGCATCGTATAACAGATCATCGCATGGTTAAAATTTTCTCTGATTTATGGTTTAGAGGCTGAAGGTGATCAACATTTAATTGCAATATAGCTTGTTATCACATTAACGGTGGAAGTTATTGTTATGTGCGCCGTTGTAATAGAAGCAAGGAAAAGACAGGGAATCCAGGCAATGTAGAATTATAAATACTTGTTTCTCTCTCTATTACCATACGTAGAGGGAAGGGAGAGGGAGGGGTTTCTGTTTGGTGTTGCTGCATTACCATAACATTCTGTTTTATGCTGAATTTGATTTCATGAAGAACCCATTGCTTCTGAACTATTACTGGAAAGACGGTGATTAACAAAAATGATAATTAACTTCTGTCCTTACAATCTCATGATGTGTCTTTCAGGTGATCGCTATTTAAGGCCATGGATAATTCCAGTACCTGAGATTACCTTCATGACCAGGACCGATGAGGATGAGTGTTTGATATTGGCCAGTGATGGGTTGTGGGATGTTATGACAAATGAAGAGGCTGGGGAGGTTGCTCGCCGCCTACTAAGACGGCGGCGCAGGTCTTTGACGGCTGATGGAATTTCTCCGGCTCAAGCAGTGGCTGATAATTTGACTGAAATGGCAATCGGCCGAAACAGTTCAGATAATATTTCCATCATCGTTGTGGATTTAAAGCCCAAGAGGAAACGCCTGCCAAGGCAGTGAAAAAGGAGCAGAATCATTTTATTCCTTCAATTACCTCGTAATCCATTTCCTCTTCTCCTACTAAAAGTTTACAGAGGAGGTTGGCAAGAATGATCGAGTATGTTCACCTGGTTCCACAAACAAACAGATCCCCATCTGACTGAACAGGTGGCCACCTACAGCTACTCTTCCTGACCTTTACAAAGCTGACTGGGAATATGCCATCTACACCATAACAGGAATAGGTTTGATACTGCAAACCATACAAGATCAACCCTCACTTTTAACTGGTTTGGTCAAGAGAATGAGAAGCAGGGACCAACAAAAAAAAAAAAAGGATCTCCTTTATGAATGTAGTGAAGAGGAGAAAGGAAAGGATGAGAATATATATATATATATATCTTTTGTTTTTGTTATTGTTTGTGTGCTATATTCCTTTCCAAGTCCTATCCTTTCTTCTCCCAAATAATTAAAGAGAAATTAACTTGGGAAAATGTTCAAGCATTCTGAATCTTGAAGCAGTGTAAGTGTGCCTTTATCACTAATCATATTCTTTGTTTTACCTTTTTTAAGTATTCGAGTAGTAAAATATTAACGGTGAGGATGGCAATTACATCTGCTTGGAGTGGTTCATACTCACGAACTAGTTTTCTGTGTTTCGGTCTCTCAAGTGCAGGGGTTAATGAAATTTCTCTGTACCAATTATCCCTCTACTCCACTCACATGGTGGCGCCAACTCAGAAACATGCACTCCTATCGTTTTCCACCCTTTTCTGACCTATAGAATTTTCTCTTGCCCGGAGGAGTTTGCAATACAAGGGTTGTAAGGCTTGATTTCGGAACTAATAATGCTTCACTGAGACACCTTTATGATTAAGAAGACTACAATATTGGCCTTTTAATTTGTTTTCAGTTTCTATATCTAATGGTCAGCGCTCAGCATCGCAAAATGAGGTCTCCATGAACAAGACCTAGCTTCAATCCTTGTGTTATTGGTACTAAATCATTTCCAATCTCTATTTGTAAAAAAACTTTCCAAGCAATAGAGATCTTGACATCTTGTCCCATGACCGCTACCCATTCCTAAATAAAAAGAAAATAAGTAGCACTAAACTTTGTGCATCTTGGGCTTTTCTTTTTTTTCTTCTAAAATAAAAAATTACCTCAATTCAAATTCAATAAGAATGTCAAATTATTAACTTTGATTATGGGTCAGATGTTCATGTTGTTGAAACAACAACACATCAATCAGTTTGAAATTAACAATTAATTTAAGAAAATGAATCCAATATCACTTCTAAAATTAAAATTATTAAGTAAGATCGGTTTTAGATTCTTTTTGTATATAAATTCGATTTTTTAGATAATAATGGAGGTACGTACTAATTTTATCTTGACCAAACTTTTTTTTAAAAAAAAAAGTAAGAAAGGAAAAATTTTACGAATCCTATTCATTAATTACACGATCTAAAAATTATAAAAAATTTAATATGTTTTCTTGAATTACTAAAATTTCAGATTTTGTCTGACGTTTTGACAGCGTAGATTACACATTTTTATAAGAAATGTTTATTTAGCTTCTTTTCAATGAGTATTGATGCAACAATTTTACAGCTGCTGCAACCCCACAACATAAATCTTTTCAGAAGTTACTGCATGCTTATACATTTGTTGGCTCTTGGTAACTTTTTCTGGCATTTATACTCCGCTTGGGCTAACCGTCTCCGGATACTCAAGTACCTTTGCATTGAAATCTCTCGCAGTCAAGAAATCGTTTTTCCTTGAAATGGACAGCAGAAGCTTGCGTGAACAAATTGCGGCCATGAGGCAATCCTTCTTTGATGAGGTTTAGTTCCTTCTTCTACCATTTTCAGGTTTAGAGCACCTTTGCATATCTCATGGCATCTTATTTCCGCCCTAAGATCGACTACATGACACTTTTCTTCCATTTTACCTTTTTGGCTATTCGGAAAACAAAAGGTTTATTTTCTTGATTTCCGTTTTACTATTAATCCCTTGATTTATTCAAGCGAAAAGAAAGAAAACGTTTTACCCTAGATGTATACGATATAGTATACATGCATCCATGAAAATAATGAAACGTTTTCTTGTTACTACGGCTCTTCGTATTTTACTGTCTTGCTTCTTTTTGTTGTACTAGGTATTAAAGAGATAGAAAACTGATCAAGAACAAGATCAGTAAAGGTAGCAAGAATGACTCTAAACTGTAACGGTTATGAAGTCGAGCACCCAATCTCCTCAAGAGAAACAGAAATAGCTCCATTACTTTATTTTTGCTTCTTGCTCTGAATGTTCAATTTCACAAGGGATTGGATTGGAATTCATGTCAAATTTAGAGATTCTAACAGATTGGTGCATCGTTGAATCTTGCAGCAGATGTCTTGTTGTCAACCTTTTGTGCTTAAGAAATTGCATTCATATAAATATCCCCAATCATTGGACTGTTAATTATATCTTAGACTTAATATGCCTTTTATCATGAATGCACTTTTCTTATTATTAGACAGAACCATATGCGTCATATAAGTGTGGGTTCATAGATTTTCCACGACCGTAAAAGTTCATAAGGGTGATCCGATGACAATCTGAAATTTTAATTTTCTTTTTGTCATGAGAATGGTTTTTTTTTGAAAAGTTTTATCATGAGAATGTTAAACTCATCTTATGTGAAGAAGTGCTCATATATAAAACAAATGCATTGGAACCTGTTTGATTTTATTTTAGACAGGAACTTTCTTGATTTTGGGATACATGAATCGTCTAAGAATGTGGGCACACAAAAAATTGGCAAAATAGCAATCGGCAAGTCCCCCCCACCCCCACTGCAAGAAGTATTGAGTGAAAACCTTGAATCTTTGTTGTTGTAGGAGATTTTGGACGCGCAATTCAGTCAGCTCGAGCAGCTAACCGATAAAGACGAACCCCACTTTGCAGAGGATGTGGTGACCATGTACTTCAGGGAGTCGACTGATAACCTGATACCTGCTATTGAGGAGCATATGTTAGTAGAATGGGCTGGAACTCTTTTTTTCCCTTCTAGATTTCCTTTTGATCATTTAATTTCACCTCTTTTTTTTTATGATGACGATCACAATTAACAGTGATGGTTATCTACGTATACAGGAAAGCTACCCCGATTGACATCCCTAAACTAGACAGGGTCATGCATAAGCTTAAGGGCAGCAGTGCCAGGTAAATTCCATGACACTGAGGTGTATTTCCAAGACCTATATATGTTGCTAGGGACTTCAATTTATTGACATTTGATCGCCAAAAGGTTAATCAAAATTGGTCTAATAGATAATGATACTTGTTGCAGCATTGGTGCTAACAAAGTTCGAAATGAGATCAACAACACAATGGCGCTTTTGGAGGAAGGGAACGTGGAAGGGTAATGTTCCTGTTTTCATCTATATTTTCTCTATGTACTTGCTAGATATATTCGGTCTTTAATTTTAAGGAAAAACTGAAGGAATGCCTAAACTCTCCATCATGCTAAATATCTATTCAGGCCCTTGTATAATTACATGCAATACCGACTTCAATTTGAAAATGAATGTGATGTCATGCAGGGCAAAGGCCGCCTTCGAGCAGGTGCTAAAGGAGCATGAAACTCTCAAAGGCAAGCTCGAGACCTATTTTCAGGTTTATCTCTCTCGACCCACGTGGACCATTCTTCATATGTTTCTTGCTTACTTTGATTGATAGGGCAAAAAGAAACTTGTATTCAACTCCTATTAATGTTTCCTTTATATGGCAGCAACTGAGGCAAGCAGGCCCCGTTGACTCAGCCTCTTCTTCCAAGTGAAGCGGACGTGTTAAAGCTGGAGATAGAAGCTGGAATTTGGTGGCCTCATTGCTTCAAGCAAATCCACCATTTTCATGATCTGCTTTTAGAATATAATAAAAACTGGGGATAGTTCATTTTCTGCGTTGGGTCTTTCATCTGTGTGCCTTTGGATCCTGTTATAAGGGTTTCCTTTCTTCCTATTACTAGTACTTCTAAGGAAGCTTTTTATAATTTCTATGCATTTCATATGTAAATTTCAGTTTCCATATGAATTCTGAAACAAAATTTCCCTCAATTAGACTTCATCTCTCTCTCATTTTGTTTTGTTTGGATGGACTTTGCAGCCTTTGTCTTACTCGAAGGCTAAGAACTAGTTTGCCTCATGTGGCATGAAGTTTTATTAGTGCATCTAGTAAATTATAAGCACATAACTAATTAAGTTTGAGCCTATGTGATACATTATAAATTAAAGTTCATGAAATTTTAATATAAATAATTATTAATTTAAAATTATAATTAAAAATGCTTTAAATTCCATCACCAAGATTAGAGAATTGTCACATATCTCATTAAAATATATTTTAAAAAATTAATAAATTAATATAATAAAAAAATGACATGTGATAATATTTTAATTTTACTTTGATTCTGAGTCAAGAGCACTTGTTGTTTCATTAAGTAGCAGAATCGCGGGGTTCTTGATAATGGCTCTGGCAATAGCAATTCGCCGCTTTTGTCTTCCTGACAAAAGTGCTCCGCGTTCGCCAATCTGTTGATGTTAGAAGTTAGACATGAACACTTCATGATTTGATTAAAGAAAAGAACATATGCATAACAAATTTCAGAAACTTTCTGAGCACAAGTTTTGATGCTTAACACTCACCTTTGTTTCATACCCTTCCGGAAGCCGTTTTACGAAATTATGGGCATTTGCAGCCATGGCAGCAACCATGACTTCATTCATTGTAGCATCTAGCTTCCCACACATTATATTTTCCTTTATTGATGTCCCAAATAATGCATGTTATTGACTAACAAGACTCATTTTCCTCTGATCCATTTTTTTTGAAAGGTATTTTTATTAATCACCTCACCACAATGCCATTTTAAGTCTTAAGCTTGAATTGCCGAAGACTCTCATGGCATAAGTGGTATATGAGGAAAAGAGAACCTAAACAATTGTCCAGAGAAGGCAGCAACCATAATTTCCTCTGATCCATTTTAATTGCAATCTTCTTTTACCAACCGCATCAATCTTCACTGCTCCAACGTTTGCATCATAAAAAAGCGTTGCACCAATGCAATTGCCGGTGATTCACCGCTTCCACTGGCACCAACAAGAGCCACAGTTTTGCCTGCTTCAACTTTGAGGTTGAAATCTTTGAGAACAACGGAATCAGGACGAGAAGGATATATGGATTTGACATGATCAAATTCTATCTCTCCTCAAATTGTGTCTAACACAACGCCCTTTGTGTCCTCACTCTCAATTTCTGGAGTCCGGTCAATCCTAGCAAAGATTCTTGTAGCAGCAACGGTGGCTCCTGAGAAGAACTTCAAAATCAGCAAATACTACTCCAGGACACCTATATGTAGGAAAACTTTACACTTAGTGTCTACATACAGATGGACAACGGGACGACTGTTCTTACTAATGATGCTCTAATTTCTTTTGCCAATCCAGTAATAACATTATAAACTCGAGACTATAAGAATTTTCACAGAATCTTGATTTACATCGTTATAGTCACAAATTTTAAGTTTAATAAACTATTGCTTACTCTAATATAAATGGTATTTTATTTATTACCATTAATAATTTGTAGTTCTAAATGATGCTACATCAAGATAGATCCATGATAAATTTTTAGACTTCAGTCTATTAATTTACCAGTCTGGTTTTGCTTCTACTGTAAAAGAGGTGTATGGCAAGAGAATAGGAAAGGAGAGGAAAGGTACTTTTAAAAAAAGGGGGCGGTGACTAAGGGAGAATGTTACCAAAAAATATTAATTCTAATACTTTTGATATTTAGTACAAGAGATAGAGAATTGAAGGAAATATAAAAATAAAATGGTTAATTTTGGTTGAAAAATTGTTTTGCTTTCTATTTTCCAAATCAATTAATTTCGTAAAGTGTTTAGCCAAAAAAAAAATTATAAATCTTTTCACAAGTTGCTGCATGCACATTTGTTGGCTCTTAGTAACTTTTTCTGTTGTATATGCTCCGCTTTGGCTAACCGTTCTCGGATACTCGAGTACCTTTGCCTTGAAATCTCCCGCAGTCAAGAAATCGTTTCTCCTTGAAATGGAAAACAGAAGCTTGCGTGAACAAATTGCTGCCATGAGGCAATCCTTCCTTGATGAGGTTTAGTTCCTTCTTCTTCCGTTTTCAGGTTTAGAGCACCTTTGCATATCTCATGGCATCTTATTTTTGCCCCATGATCGAGTACATGACACTTTTCTTCCATTTTACCACAAGGTTTATTTTCTTGATTTCCATTTTATTATTAATCCCTTGATTTATTCAAGCCAAAAGAAAGAAAAGGTTTTACCGTCGATGTATATGATACAGTATACATGCATCCATGAAAATAATAACAGGTTTTCTTGTTATTACAGATCTTGGTATTTTACTATCTTGCTTCTTTTTGTTTTATTATGTGTTAAAGGGATAGAAAACTGATCAAGAACAAGATCAGTAATGGTACCGAGAATGACTCTAAACTGTAACGGTTATGGAGTCAAGCACCCTATCTCCTCAAGAGAAACAGAAATAACTCTATTACTATATTTTTGCTTCTTGCTCTGAATGTTCAAATTTAGAGATTCTAACAGATTGGTGCATGGTTGAATCTTGCAGCAGATGTCTTGTTATCAACCCTTTGTGCTTAAGAAATTGCACTCATATAAATATCTCTAATCATTGGACTGTTAATTATATCTTAGACTTAATATGCCTCATATAAGTGTGTGTGCATAGATTTTTCACTACCGTAAAAGTTCATAAGGGTGATCCGATGACAATCTGAAATTTTAATTTTCCTTTTGTCATGAGAATATTAAACTCATCTTCTGTGAAAAATTTCTTTTGTGCAAAAAAAATGCATTGGACCCTGTTTGATTTAATTTTAGAAAGGTAATTACTTTCTTGATTTTGGGATACATGAATTCGTCTAAGAATGTGGGCAGACGAAAAAAATTACAAAATAGCAACCGGTAAGTTCCTCCCTCCACAAGAGTTATCGAGTGAAAACCTTAAATCTTTGTTATTGTAGGAGATTTTGGACACACAGTTCATTCAACTGGAGGAGCTATCGGACAAAGACGAACCCAGCATTGCAGAGGAGGTGGTGACCTTGTACTTCAGGGAGACGACTGAACTGCTACCTAATCTTGAGGAGGATATGTTAGTAGAATGAGCTGGAACTCTATTTTTCCCTTCTAGATTTCCTTTTGATCATTTAATTTCACCTCTTTTTTTTTTTGATGATGATGACGTTAACAATTAACAGTGATGATTATCTATGTATACAGGAAAGCTACCCCGATTGACTTCCCTAAACTAGACAGGATCTTGCATAGGCTTAAGGGCAACAGCGCCAGGTAAATTCCATGACACTGAGGTGTACTTCCAAGACCTATATATGTTGCTAGGGACTTCAATTTATTGACGTTCGATCGCCAAAAGCTTAATTAAAATTGGTCTAATAGATAATGACACTTCTTGCAGCATTGGTGCTAGCAAAGTTCGAAATGAGATCAACAAAACAATGGCGCTTTTGGAGGAAGGGAACGTGGAAGGGTAATGTTCCTGTTTTCATCTATATTTTCTCCATGTACTTAGTAGATATATTCGGTCTTTAATTTTAAGGATAAACTGAAGGAATGCCTAAACTCTTCGTCATGCTAAATATCTATCCAGGCCCTTGTATAATTACATGCAATACCGACTTCAATTTGAAAATGAATGTGATGTCAAGCAGGGCAAAGGCCGCCTTCGAGCAGGTGCGAAAGGAGCATGATACTCTCAAAGCCAAGCTCGAGACCTATTTTCAGGTTTATCTCTCTCGACCACGTAGACCATTCTTCATATATTTTCTTGCTTACTTCGATTGATAGGATAAAAAGAAACTTGTATTGAACTCCTTTTAATGTTTCCTATATATGGCAGCAACTGAGGCAAGCAGGCCCTGTTGACCCAGCTACGCCTTCCAAGTGAAGCGGTCGCGCTAAAGCTGGAGATAGAACCTGGTATTTGGTGGCCCCATTGCTTCAAGCAAATCCACCAGTTTCATGATCTGCTTTTAGAATATAATAAAAACTGGGGATAGTTCTGTTTCTCTGTGTCGGGTATTTCATCCGTGTGCCTTGGGATCCTGTCATAAGGGTTTCCTTTCTAACTATTACTAGAACTTCTAAGGAAGCTTCCTATAATTTCTATGCATTTCGTATGTAGATTTCAGCTTCCATGTGAATTCTGAAACAAAATTTCCCTCAATTGGATTTCATCTCTCTCTCTCAATTTGTCTGGTATGGATGGAATTTGCTGTCCTTGTCTTACTCAACGACTAAGAACTAATTTGCCTCACGTGGTATGAAGTTTATTACTGCATCTAAATTCTAAATTATAAGCATATAACTAACTAACTTTCAGCCTATGTGATACATCATAAATTAAAGTTTATAAATTTTTAACATAAATATTTATTAATTTAAAATAATAATTAAAAATATTTTAAACTATGTCATCGAGATTAGAGAATTATCATATATCTCATTAAAATGCAAATGCACGTATGACTATTACATAGCTCATATTCTAAGTGAATAACCACTATATGAATAAAGAATAAAATCTATTCATTTTACTAGGTGGTATTTGGTACGAGGTAATTATCTTAAAATTTATGATGATTTGCACTTGATGATTAAATCATAGTACCTAATAAGAACTCTCGAAAATCCTACATGGCAATGGTCTAAAATTATCGAGACTTGGGAGGCGACTTAATTCTCATTCAAAAGAGTGCGAAACTTTATTCACTAAGATGAAGCAATTTGTAAAATTAATGATGAACAAAATAATCCTTTTAATGTGTGAATAAAGAGTTTCCTTTCTCACAAAATTATAACTATTTTACATAAAAAAATTAAAAATGTTCACATTTTATTTTTTTAATTATCTTCATAATTACTGAATATATTTTTATTTACGACCCCAAAAATGAACAAAGTATAGAAAGTGAATAAAAGAATGAAAAGAAAAGGCCAGGAGAATTTTTTTTTAAAAAAAAGTATGGAAAGAAATAAGAGGGCTGGCTGTCACTTGCATGTGGGCAATCGGATCTCTCATCTGAAATCTGAACCCAAACCCAAGTTAAAAGTCCAGGCAACAGAGTCCAATTAACTCAAAAGCAGGCCGACCCAAATTCGATCAAATACCAGCAAAAGCTTAGATAATAGTAAATGGATCTCTCAAAATCTAGTTTGATGAGGTTGTTCTCTTCTTCTTAGCATAAAAAATAAATATATTAGTTGTGTCATTTTTAGGTGTGCAGGACCTTGCATCTCATCAGGCATATTATTCCTGCCTCGTGATCAACTACATATATAGCATATACGAAATAATCTTGTTCAATCTTTTATGTATTGTCCTTAATTTGAATATATTTTTCCATGAGAAAATTGTAACAAATAACCTTATCATTTCAAACATAGCCTTCACTATAAACCTAACTTTTTTTTTCTCTAATTTTAACATAAGATGATAAAAATACTTTTAAAATCATTTCAAATAAATTAATTACTCTTAATTTTTCTCTCTCACCATTTGTCTGTTGTGATTCAACTCTCTCTAACTTTATTATTGTCACCATCTCTTTTTGTCTATCTTTTATTATCTTATCATATCGTTATCGATTTATAAATTAAAAAATATAGAAGAAAATATCATATCCTTGAGTTTATTTTTTTTTAAACAAAAGCTGTAACTCTTATAGAAAAGATTGAAACATTAAAAAAAAATGATAGTAAAGATCCTACAAAAACTCAAAAGAACATCAGAGAAGAAAATGAAGACATAAAAAATTTGCCCATTAGATTGGCTAGCCAAGAACCACAGCACATAAAACCTTTATCAAGCAAGATGAAGGTTGAACAAAAATTTCAAATGTTTGGAAAAACCTTATTTCAACTATTGCAAGATGCTTTATCCATGTCCTATTAAGTTTGTAGATTGAACTTCAAATTTACATTTACAAAACCTTCTATTAATGATCTATAGATGAAAAAGCATGGCACGATGAATAACAAGTTCTTGGATTTATTTCTATTAAGTTTTTCAGTAATTCAAGTCTGGTAGAATATGCCTTAATGTATAATATCAGTAGGAGGAATGAAGCTTTGGCATGTAATATCTAGTGCTAAAATTTTGACCTTGATGTGTAATATTTGATGCTAAAGCTTTGACTTTGACATGTAACGTCTTCTGTTTTGTTCTTGACATGTAACATCTAGCGTTGAAGCTTAAAGATGACGTGTAATATTTTTTTTTTCAGCATGGTGTGTAACTTGACCTATCTTTGTATTTCATTAGTATATAAACGAAATTAAATAGTTTAAACATAAAGTATAATAATTTTTTTTTTAACATGGTATGTAAGTTAGTCTCTATTTTCATATTTCATAAGATATAAGTTCTTAGAATTAAACACAAAGTGTAACAATTTTTTTTCTAAGTTTTCTAGGTTAGTTTCTTCGTTGGAGCTTTTGCAGCATATGCATAATACCAATATATCCTTAAGCTTGCAGTTATCAAGGCTTTGGGAATTTTTTGCAACAACCTCTCCAAGTAAAGAAAAAAAAAACAAAACTTATCAAAACCAAAATAACTTTCTCTCCACTTCTTTTTTTCTTTTTTTTTTTTCCATTTGTTCGTTTGTGTATATAAGAAGATCACTATGATGAAGATCCTTCTTTCTTCTTTTTAATCTTTTTTTTGTTATTTTAAATTTTTTATTGTTAGTTTTTGCATTTTTGTATCATTGTTCTTGAGTAGTGGTGGTGTTAATTTTTTCTTTTTAAAATCAAAATATTTTTTTCGCACTTGAAGATGAAGAGTTTTCATTAAGAGTAATTTTGTTCACAAAATTTTTTTCTTAGTTAAAAATAGTTAGAATTAAAAAGATGGTTATTTTTAAAAACACTTAATTTTGAAAGTCATCCATTTTTTCATTATGTGAATGCTAAAAGTGAGCAATATATTTTTTGATATTTAGAGTTTGAATTGTTTGAAAGTTAAAATGATACAGACTCGTTCAAATATATATCATGGTTGATAAATCTTACTTATACATGATACAATATATCACTGCTGTGCCATGGGTCAAGTTAAACACCATCGATCTGATACGAATCTATAAACGGATTTCCCATGTTTGGATATCTTCACAGCCCCATTTTTGTGCAATTTTCTGCATTACAGACAAGTAGGAGATCTCTTTTAAGTTTAATCCAAGTGTGAGTGGCCAGGTAGCTCTAGGGAACACCGTCTAACTGCTAGCTAGCGGTAAATTCCAGCCTTGAAGAGTTAACAAGCACAAATTATGTTTGAAGACTAGCAAGCTTGGAGAATGCTCCTTGGTGGTTCCTGAGCTGAGCGTAGGTGCCTCGCTCCACCACCTTCCCATCGGCAACAAATGCAATTAAGTCTACTTTTTTTATTGTGTTAAGCCGATGAGCTATCACAACTGTGGTCCTTCCGACCATGGTTCTATCCAATGCTTCTTGAACAACTTGCTCAGATTGCACGTCAAGAGCGCTGGTTGCCTCATCTAGTAAAAGAATTCTTGGGTTCCGAATTATAGCTCTAGCAATGGCTATTCTTTGTTTTTGCCCTCCTGATAATTGAACTCCTCTTTCCCCACATTCTGTCTCGTATCCTTCCTTCAATGCCCTACACAACAAATTCAACGCAAACCAGAATTATTAGCACATTTCAAGGTTACAATGCCATTCACGCAATGGCCTGCTAGAAACTATAAACAGCTTACGAGATAAATTCGTGAGCATTTGCAGCTCTAGCTGCCTCTACAACTTCATTCTCTGATGCATCAAGTTTTCCAAACGCAATGTTATCCCGGATGCTGCCAGAATAAATTACTGGTTCTTGGCTGACAAGCGCCATTTGCCTCCTGTACCATTGAACATCAAGTTCTCTTATGTCGATACCATCTACTCTCACTGACCCCATTTCAACATCATAAAATCTTTGGATTAGTCCAATCACAGTTGATTTTCCACAGCCACTTTTCCCAACTAGTCCAACACTTGTGCCTAGTTTCACTTCCAAGCTAAATTGGCGTAAAACTAGTGTCTCTGGCCTGCTTGGATATGCAAAATCTACCTTCTTCAGCTCGATCTTTCCAGTAATTCTTTCCAACTTCGTTCCACTGGTGCCATCTCCTCCCTAATGCAATAGTAAACAGATTAATTCAAGCAAAATTTATGTTGTAATTTAAACGGAGTTCAATTCAGTTGACTAGGAAACAGTCTACTTACTTGAGACCCTGGAATTGAGGATTGCCGGTCAAGGATTTCAAAAACAGATGCCACTGCGGTTGAGCCTTTGGCTAGATCAGAGGTCATGCTTCCGGCATCAGCTATGACCTTTCCAGTGCTCACCAAGACAAAGAATGTCTTAAACACATCCCCTGCTGATATCTCTCCCATTTCAACTAGCTTACCTCCATACCAGAAATCCAATGCCCATGACATAAAGGTCAAGCAATGAGCAGACCCCATGCCAATTCCTGCAAGCCATGATTTTTTCCTTGCCTCTTTCCTTGGTTCCTCTTGAGCCTCATCGAAAAGTTCAAGAACCTTACCAATGCACCCAAATGAAGTCACAATTTTATGATTATAGACTGCTTCCACCGCTATCTGAGTACTTTGATTTTGTGCCTTGACAAAATTAGTTGAAATACTAGAAAGCAGAACTTTTCGAGTGTAGAAACATAGAATTGTGACAGGTTGGACTGCAATCATGACTACCGCTAACTTCCAAGCAACAATTAGTCCTATAATCATTGCGATGGTAACAGCTGAAGTTGTTTGAACTAACAATGAAATTCTGTCTGCAACAAGAGTCTTAACCATAGAAGCCTGATTGCTCAAACTAGAACATAAAGCTCCACTAGAGTTTTTCTCTTCATCAAACCAAGCAGCTTCAAAGGACAACATTTTTTCTAGCATTCTCTTTCGGATTCTCCTGGTTAGCCGCTCACCCATATAAGCAAAATTATAATGCTGAATAAGATTCAGAATGATGGAGAACAAGGTGAGTAGAGAAAATATCAAAGCATAAGTACGAATTCGAGCCTGCATTTCTTGGTGGCTTTTTGCAAAAAAGGCTGAAATCATGCCACCAACGGTTAAGGCATAGACAGGTTGGACTGCGCCAAAAGCTATAGCAGAGAGGCTACCAATCAAACCTTGCTTCCATTCAGGGGAATTTAAAGAGAGAAGCCGAGAGAAGGAAGGAGAGGGATGAGATACTGGTTTTTTTGGACTTTCAATGTGCACTGGTGTAGCAAAGAAAGCTGGGCTTGATTTGGCTGTGCTTAGCCTGCCTGTACTCATTCTTCCAACAGAAGAAAGGCGTGTTTCAGGATTTTGTTCATGGTCATCGCAGCTGAATTGTCTTTGTAGCTTTGCAAGTTGGGCATAGTGTCCGTTCTTCATGTTTATCAGATCGTTGTGCGATCCCATTTCAATGATACAACCATTATTAACTACTGCAATGAGGTCTGCATTTCTAATAGTGGAGAGCTTGTGGGCAACAACCTGATCAAATTGGAATTCTAGTTAATTAGAGGAAGAAAATAAGGTTTTGGTAAGTCCAACCCCAATCAATACCCTACTCACATATGGGTTAGGACTTTGGAAATTAAACTAGAATGAAATCCTGAATCTAATTGCATACTAGCTAGCACACATAGTTTAAGCCCGTTAATCCAGTTACACCTTCTGTTTCATTTTACTAATTATTTTTATTTGACTTTTTGAGTCAGACCAACAGAACCTTGATAAAGTGAAAATCAGGGCCAAAAAAGAAAAAACAAAAGCAAAATGGGACAAGAAATATAAAACGGGAACCTTTGTTTGGTAGCATGGCAAAGACAGCTCATGTTTGCTATTTCTGAAACACAATGAACGATAAAGAGAAAACATGTTGGACAGGGTGTTTTAAGAGAAGTATGCACGGCCAGTATGTAGAAAAATTGATTAAATTGAAATTATCATATACTGCTTTCCTTAAGGGCAAAAGGAATCGACCATTGAAAAATGATAAGGTTAATAAGAATATGTAATCACATTCTGTCACAAAGCAGAATTCAAAGAAACAAATATAATTTTCATCACTCATCAGTTGAATTTGGCATTTTATCGTTATAAAAAGAAATTAAAGGAATTAAGATTAACCAGTGAAAGCAGTCAAATTAATTACCAGAGTGGTTCTTCCCATGGAGGCCTGATCAAGTGCATTTTGGACCAGTGTTTCTGATTCGGAGTCTAGAGCACTTGTTGCTTCATCAAGTAGGAGAATCACAGGGTTCTTGATAATGGCTCTGGCAATAGCAATTCGCTGCTTTTGTCCTCCTGACAACAGTGCTCCGCGTTCGCCAATCTGTTGATGTTAGAAGTTAGACTTGAATACTTCATGATTTGATTAAAGAAAAGAACATATCCATCACAAATTTCACAAACTTTCTAAGTACAAGTTTTGATGCTTAACACTCACCCTTGTTTCATACCCTTCCGGAAGCTGTCTTACGAAATTGTGGGCATTCGCAGCCATGGCAGCAGCCATGACTTCATCCATCGTAGCATCTAGCTTCCCAAACATTATATTTTCCTTTATTGATGTCCCAAATAATGCATGTTCTTGACTAACAAGACCCATTTTTCCTCTGATCCATTTTAATTGCAATCTTCTTATATCAACCCCATCAATCTTCACTGCTCCATCGTTTGCATCATAAAAACGTTGCACCAATGCAATTGCAGTGGATTTACCGCTTCCGCTTGCACCAACGAGAGCCACAGTTTTGCCTGCTTCAACTTTGAGGTTGAAATCTTTGAGAACAACGGAATCAGGACGAGAAGGATATATGAATTTGACCTGATCAAATTCTATATCTCCTCGAATTGTGTCTAACACAATGCCCTTTGTGTCCTCACTCTCAATTTCCGGAGTCCGGTCAATCCTAGCAAAGATTCTCGTAGCAGCAATGGTGGCTTCTGTGAAGTACTTCAAATCAGCAAGTGCTACTCCAAGACACCTATATATAGGAAAACTTTACACTTAGTGTCTACATACAGATGGACAAAGCGGAAGACTGTTGTTAATGATGCTTTAATTTCGCTTGCCAATCGAGTAATAATATCATAAACTCAAGACTATAATATCTACCAGTCAGGTTTTGCTTCTACCGTAAAAGCAGTGTATAGCAAGAGAATAGGAAAGGAAAGGTAATTAAAAGGAAAAAAAAAAAAAGGGAAAACTAAAGAGAGAATGTTAAAAAAAATTAATTTCGATATTTAGTACAAGAGATAAAGAATTGAAGGTAATATAAATATAAAATGGTTAATTCTTGTTGAATAATTGCTTTTTTCAAATCAGTTATGAAACGATTAATTTCGTAAAGTGTGAAAAAATGCAAACATATCCATTTTCCTGTCCTAATTTCCTTATTATGGAACAGAAGAAAAATAATATTCTCTTTCACTTTTCTTTTGTCACCATTATTTTAAGTTTCCTTCGTTCACCCCCCTGCCGAACACAATAGGAAAATGATACAAAGGAGATGTTTCGAAGGGAGCATATAAATATTTGATTGAAGATTCCTTAAGCACTTTCATGCTTATTCTTACTGTATATACTCTATGTAACATACTTTAGAGCTGATCTTATTGGACCTTAGTCCATAATCAATATCAGTAAATAATTTTAAGATGTTTAAGGTGAAGTAATGAAGACAAATATGAGACGCCTGACTTACAGTCCGCCCAATATGAAGGAGACGCCAGCTGCGTAGATCCTTCCTCCGCTTTCTCCTTTGTACATAACCAAATGGCTTCCATACCAAGCTAGGAAAGCCCATATCGCAAAAGCAATCCCTGTGCTGCCCACAGCCAAACCTTTTGCTATGCCTTGCTTCAGTCCCAGCTTTATTGTCCTATCCAATATAGCTGAATATCTCTCAACAATTCTCCTTTCAGCTGTGAATGAATAAACGGTCTTAATGGAACTCAGAGCCTGCTCCACAATGGCATTTGCTTTGCCATATTCCTTGGAAGCTTTCTTGCATAGATAGAGAAGGTACTTTCCATAAATTATTCCTGGAATGATGAGGAGAAGCAGTGCTGGGAAAACTACTATAGCCAACCTCCATGAAAGGTAAGCGGAAAATGCAAGTCCTGAGATGAAGGCAGATGAATTCATCACAAATATTGGAACCTGAAAATTTGAACGAGAAATGATAAATTGATAGGGTTAGGAACAGTTCACTGTCTCCGATTTAATTGGAAAAAGAAAGCCCATTAACAATAATAAGCAGATCTGGAAGTTGCTTATTTCAAAAGGTAATCAATTTGTTTCAGTGTAAAATTCTAGCAAATGCTAACATTAAATGCCGAGTATTATGTGCTGGTATCAAATAAAAATCATAGATATTCATAAGATGAGTGCTGAAGAATATACTGTATATATATGAAATTGGTACCTTTTCGCTGAGGACTTCTTGTATGAGAGATGTATCTTTAGATATGCTATTGATGACTTCTGAAGTAGTTGCTTCCTGTGAATCAAAGAAGCCAACTTCTTGCCTAAGAATGGCTTCCAAATACTTGTAACGAATCTTCAACACTTGCCTCTCGCTGGTTTTGCTCCAACAGTAACCTTCTGCAAGCATTAAAATTATCAATTTAGTCCCAGTGTCCTTTTGTTATATTTTTTAACATGCAAGGATTATTTCGATGATATTATATAATAAATTTAAAGCTTTTCAAAATTAGGGCATTCTAGGGTTTCAAAAAATGAGCTCGTTTCTTGATTCATTTTGGTTATAAAGTCAGTGTCTCCTTATTATGATACTAGCTAGCTTCCTCGAATCCCTGCTGTTTGAAATTAGTGGACTGATTCAACTTGTACTAAGATGTACAACTGCAAACTCCCCCTTGTCCTCAGAAAGCTATACAAATGTGGAAAAAAAATGTTTCCTGAAATTACCCATGAAAGCCACCACCATTGCTGCTAATCCCAAGTATGTAAAGTATAAGCAGCACTGTTAACAAAGTCACAAAAAAAAAAAAAGCGAAAATGAGAGACAGAAAGATCAGCAAAAACAGTGCTAAGTAATAATAGAATGACATTGTTGACTACCAGTTCAAAGTTCTAACCTTTTCGACCTCTTCCATGAAATTGTTATTATTTTGTTGGGTATTACCATAACCCATGCTGTTCATTATACGGCCGGCAAAGATTATTAACCAGTTTGTTGACATGCCATCCCCAATAGCTCCAAAAGTACCCAAAACCATTAGCAAAATATCAACCCAATCAGCATATCTGAAAATTATGCCTATATTATGCTTTCTAATTTCCTTCTCCCCCATTTCTCCTTTCTCTATCCCATTCTTCTCTGGAGAACCCATTTCAATTTCCCTTCTGATGATCAGAACCCTCAATGTCAAAGAAGCTTTTAGATTTCTTAAGCGAAGGGGATCAAGCAAGAGGAGATATAAGAAGAAAAGCAGAAAAGGGCTATGAGCAGAAGCATAAAAAAGACTTGATTTGCTCTCTACCAAACTATTGCCATTTGAATATCTATTTATATAAGAATAGAAATGATGGCTGCTGATGATTTTCCATGAAGTGAACTTTATATGTCACAAAGCTCTTTGTGGGTTTGTTAAAGATAGTGTTTTCTTTGTGTTGGTGGTTGTTACTTTCATTACCATGAGAGCAAGGGTAAACCTTTTTTGAAGTAAGTTCAAGAAAGATGACTATGACCACCCTTTAATGGGGGGCCAATATTTTTGTTTCTTGCTCCCTTTCTTTTTCTTTTTTTTTTTTTATGGTTTAGTATAGCAATTGTGATGTGAGATTACTTTAAACACATATCGTTAATGTCGGCTTTTATTTTACTAATTGATTTCTTTTATACAATTATTAAAGATTTGATGAAGTAGATTTCCATCCCTATATCCAATTCCACTAACCGGCAATCTCTGCATAATAAGCAGTAATAATTACAACACGAAGTCGTACATATTCCGAAATTAAATAATATGTATACATGAAATTTTCAAGAGTTTCTTTTGTTAATATTAGATATGATCATAGTTTTTGGCTTTTTCATCCATAAAATTAATCATATGAGAACTTTTTTTTTTGAATATTTTAATACATCAAGATCATCACTTAAAAGATCAGAGATTACACTGTATAATTTCTAAATTTTATAAGTTAAAAAGGGTTAAAAGAATTTAAAATTAGAAGAAAAGCTCTTGGAATGAGTTCAAATTAAAAGCTTCTTTTCTAAAAAAATTGAGGGGTTCTCCTTTTTTCTAAAGTAAAGTAGGTTTTTTTTTTATTAAATATAAAGCATATTCCTTTTTGTCAATCCAAATTGCTGTCAGTTGCTTGTACTGATCCTATATATGCAGGCATAGCATCATATTCTAAGCTGTATTGCTGGACTTTTAATCATTCTCTTATCTCTCTCTCTCTCTCTCAAGGAAATGACATATAATTAAGCTGTATAGCTACTTTACTTCATTTTAATTAGATCGTTTTAAATTGGGCAAAAGCATCCTTTAAGCTCTCTTCCAACCATAAAATTAATAAAAAAAAAAATCATTGGAGCTCTGGAGCTGTCACAGACTTCTGCCTCTTTTGGCATGTCTTATAATAATAATAATGCATGCTATGACCATTAATCAACCGAAACACAGATCATTGATTAGTAATAAAAGTACAAGAAAACATACAGAATCTTTCCCCACATTACAAGTGCAAAGGATACTAGAATACCTCGAGCTCCCTGCGTTGTCTACGACCACACTGCACCATCAATATTCTTGTCCCAACAATAATGCACCAAATTCAATTTTAGATATGTGAAATCTCCAGGAGATCATATGAGATCTCCCATCAACTTATGACATGATATAAGCCAATTCATGATCCATGATTGCTTTTTTTTTTTTGTTTTCTAACCAATTTTTGTACTTACTCTTTTCTACTTTTGGAATAATGACAATCCAAGCACCTATATGAGACATGTTGCTTCTTTGTGTCCTAAATTTTTGTGCACTACTATAATCTTGACACATAATCATAATTTCCATGGATGATGTATAGTAAGATATTCAGCTGAAGGGCCTTGATGGGGCGAGAATCATATATATTCTCCGTCTTTTGCTATGATTACATGGTGATTTCCTAGAACAAAAGGACAAAATATCTGTTTCAAATCCCATTATTTAGTGGTGAGCGATGTGGTTATTGGTTAATGCATTTTGCTTATTGCATTTCGGAGTTCATAAGCTGCTGCAGCTACCACTAAAGAGTTCCAACTTCTTCCACCTGGACCTGCCGCATTTTAAATACTTTTTCCATCTTTTCTCTTGGAAATTTTGTTACAAGAATAAGATAGCGTTTGGTTAATGTACTATAAGATCTTTTGCTCACCAAGAAATCGCTCATTTCCATTCAATCAGATCATATTGGATGCCATTTATTATATTCTATGAATTGATAATCTTCATTAAGGTATGCTTCTCCAGGGAGGAATAAAGGAATATTTAGATGCTTCCGGGTGGTGCAGAAGAATCTCTCATTAATGCCATCAAATTGATCAAATATAGAACAGTGTTTTGAGTTCAATTATTAATAGTCATTTACATTTTCCCCAGGAAGACTACGACATATGCAACAAAAATAAATGTATTAACCATTTTTGTTTACCAACAAAATTGCAGATAAACTAATCTAAAGTCAAGTTTATAATAAAACTCTCTTTTAAAAGAAATTTGATACAAACCTATTTTTTCTTTTTATAAACATTGTTACAAATCTAAATTGCTTACATATATGGAATTTCTTAACCACATCAATAATTGTTTCGAGTTTAAGAACTTCACTTGGAGAGGAACTTAATCTAAAATTTCCATTTTAAGAGCAATATAATATAAGCTACTCACAAAAATAGCCTAATGTTTTATTGAAAATGCCACCATTGCAGTGATGAATAATATATATAAATGGTTTTTTTTTGTTCATTCTGATTTGCTGTGTTTGTCTTATAAAGTAGGTATGATTTTTTTTTCCTTCAAATTAATAGAAGTTTTATTAAGTATCAAGAACTGGTACAATATTTTGATCAACCATAAGAAGATTAGATTGAAGTTTACAGCTAGTGTGCGAAAATACAATGTCTCCAATAAAATTTCTCAAATCATCAATTTTATTAAAGATGTGTCTATTTAGCTTTATTACAATTTCAAGATAACACTACCTTAAAATCAGATGTGACAATCAATTCTTTGATACCTACCAATGAGGAAGAAGTAATCTCTCCATGTAAAATTTAAATATTAATATATAAATTATTTTTTGATAAATTTACTTTTTTATAGTATTTAAATATTATTTTTTTAAAAAAATATTTATATATTATTAATATATAAATTTTTTAATAAAAGTCTCACTTCTTACAAAATTGTAATAAAATTAGTGACTTTATAGTATTATTAACTATATAAAATTTTTAAAAATCATATAATAAATAAATATTTTTTTAATTAAATGGTGTCACGTGACACCACTCTCATGAACTTGGGTCTGCCCATCCTCTTACGTGACGATTAATCTCCTCTTAGAATACAAAAAAAAAAAAAAACTAGTGTCAATAGAAGTCATCAGAGTAGGTATGATATCTTTTTTTTATTAATTTTTGGGTACATTGATTAGGTGTATATGGTGTGTTAGAGCTATATATATATTCTCCAATAGGTTCGTTCGTTTTATATGTGGAGTATCCTCTTGTACACCATTCTAACTCTCTCATATAAATGTTGTTTTATTTGATCCATCAAAAGAAAGTGAGATACCAACGATTTAAACCAATTATCAGTTACCACGTTGGCATACATTAATGCATAATCAATGACGTAGGAGTCTAATAATATTATGATGATACATGTTAATATTAAATAAATTCAAATTAGCGTTTTACTGTATGAAATGGACATATCAATTTTATATTTTTTTTCTCAATCATTTAGATGAAGCCCGAAGAAGAAAAAAACACATTTGGGATCGAAGTCTTAATCCTTAACTCTTGTGAATTTCAATGTAAAACCAATTAAAAAGGAACCAAAAATCCTTTGAAGACTGTCAACCAATGACTCAACCACTATGTGTTGCCAATAAATATCTTTTGATATTGGGGATTCACATCATAAACGTGTGAAAATATGACGGCGAATGCCGGTTTTCTCGGCGTGAACTTGGTGAGTTATTTTATGGGCCTATTCCCTCGCGGGAATTTTCAAGGACAGCTGATAGAATTAGCCATTAAATTAAATTAACCGATCACCATTACCTATGTATGTTAGGTTAACCAAAACTTGGATGGTGTTAATTTCATTTAGTGGACTCAATAAATAAACTATATTTGTGAGACAAAGTGGGATTATTATTATTATTATTATTAGTATATAAAACCCAGCTTTAAACAAAACGAAATAAACCGAGACAGGCCCACCTCTAGAGCTTCATCTTTCTAAAATTTAATAAGAAATAAAAATAATCCCAAATCCCAACATTTTTTTAATTTTTTTTCTAGTGTTTTATAGGGGGCCAATTTTGAAGGAAGATAGTATACGTTATTCTAATGAGCAATTAAACATATGAACCATGTGCCAGTCATGAGGTAGCTAGAGAATTCATCGTATCTATGCCTAACTTAGTACGAATGGAATTACCAAAACCAGGGACGCGGCTAAAGTGGCCGGAAACCAGGGACGTGGAGCATTGGGAGGTGGGGGAAATAAAATTTCGTCATGTGTGCTTTTGTGAGTATTAATTATTTGAGTTGGTTCGTTACTAAACCACTGCATATATGCTCATGCTGCAACTAAAGCCAGCCATCAGTAGATTAATGGAATATATAAAATGTTGGTTCGCCAATGACAGGTGAAGTAGGTGGGGAAGTTTTAATTTCATAGATCAGTGGTTTCGAGCTTTCTAACAAGGATTTATTTACCTGTTTTCATTTTGCAAATGCAGGGAGTTCTTTGTAAATGCCGTTGCAACTTTAGAAGCTTACTATCACCTTTCAATAAAATAAAAAAATGATAAGCTTACTATTAATTAAACTTTTTAGAATAGTATTTGATATTTAATGTGTTGATTTGACCTTAAAACAATGCATTAAAAGGAAAGTCTTTTTTGAAAAACAATTAATTTCTGACTAAGTAGTATTCTTAATTAAGAGTTAAGACATTACTGTTAACAACCTGGGAAAATTTCTTTTCAGTATGCTTGCAGTTGCAGATATATTTGTGATGGGTAGCTTTTTCAACCTGCAGAAAATAACGTGCTTATCTGTAATCATTTCATTCCTGTAATGAAAAGGAAAGAATGG